ATCTTGAGGTAGAAGCTAATAAACGCAACAGAACTGTATCTGCACTGTCTCAGGGAGTTCTTTGGGCTGAACCTGACAGAACGGTTGGTAAACAAATGGTTGTTAAGCGGCAACTACCTGTTCTCCCAAGGCATGATATTTTTTAGACTTAATGTATGCTGATCATTTGCTTTCTTCTACAATGTGCGATTTAGCTCACCTGGCTGAAACATTTGGAATTTTACCTGAATTAGCATTCTCTAGGGTGCACTTTGCTTCTGCCTGTTGTGGTTCAGATTATATAGTTCAACTGCTGCCCTCCGGATATTTTGCTACTACAATTCCTAGAATTTCCAGCTTATATGGTCTACAGAAATTTCTGGGAATTGGAAAGCGTCAGACTGAGAAGGCTGATATACTTTAATTAATGAGAGTCCTACTTCCAGAAGAAGGCTGCTTTTGCAAGCATTTCCATTTTTATAGTTTGACAAATCAGAGCTGATCAACCTATGGTCCTTTAGATGTTGTTCAACTTCAACTTCTGGAAGCTCTAGCCAGCATGGCAAGAGACAGATGTAAAAAGAATTGATCTCTGTCTTTTTGGTCCACTGACTACGTTTTGCTCTTGCTAGTTTTTCTTGAGCAAAAGGAAGCTCTCGCTTTGCTGAAGCGTTCACGACGAGCCAACAGGGGGTTCATGGAAGAGATACTTAAAGGTAATCTAGAACGGGAGTGTCTGGAGGAAAACTGTAACTACGAGGAAGCCCGTGAAGCCCTTGAGTCCAATGAAAAAACGGTATGTAGCATTTGATATTTTATTTATCTATAGATCACATTTATATAGCCACCCATCTCACAGAAAGTGACTCTGGGCGATGTACAACAATTAATATCCTAGTTCCCATGTGACAGGACTAGGTAGTCACATATTGAGAACTCATCTACCAGTGCGAAGTATATTCTGTTATATAGAGCAAGATTTTTTTTTTTAAATTACTAGAGTTACCTCTGAAATACTTGCTATTCATCATGTAACGGTTGGAAGGGATCTGGGAGATCATCCAGTGAGTGAGAGTCTATCACCGCCTGAGCCAGTCTGTTCCATTGTGGAATAGCTCTTACCACTAGGAAAGTTCTCCTGATATCCAACCAAAATCTACTTCCTTGCAATTCCTTATAATTTAAACCCAGTGCTTATAACAGTTCCTCACAAGTTTTTCCTTCAAGGTCCCTTAACATCCTGGTTGTTCTTTCCTCTGTTCAACATATTCTAGTTTGTCTGTGTCTTTCCTAAAATGCAATGGCCAGAAGGGGATGCAATATTCTAGGTGTGATTGGCCCAATGCACTACAGAAAGAAGCAATGGCATCATGACACTATATCAGTGTTTCTCAACCTTGGTAACTCTAAGATGTGTGGACTTCAACTCCCAGAATTCCCCAGCCGGCCATTCTGAGGTTGAGAAACACTGTGCTATATCATAGCAATAGACTGCATTGACAGCAGGAGATTGTGCTCAGTTTCCTTGCCATTTTTTGACTCACTCATATCTCCTTGCTTCAAAAAACTCAAAAAAATCTCTCAGTTTACAGTACCAGATCTGTTTAGCACTGGTCAATCTTCTAAGCAAATACTTTTGTTTTGCAGGATATATTCTGGGCACAGTATACAGGTATGTTCTGTGTGAGTCTCATCAGATGACCAGACTTTTGTACATCATTTACTGTTGAATGTTCATGCCAAGTTCTTGATTATCCTTAAGTCAATGGCCAGAATCAAGTGTGTGTATGCTAGAGCAGAAATCCCCTATATTTTGAGGTTAAATCTTTGGAAATGAATGGGAAGTTTCTGAATTAATATACATAAAATACAACTGCAAGCATAATATTAACATCACTTAATTGGTCTTTCTCTCATTACCAATTCATACAAGTTCTCAGTTTGGAAGTACATGTCAACCCACTCATCCTGTCTTACTCCTTAAATTGACTTTCTTTGTACATTATACAAATATAGTCTTTCCACAATCATATCAGCCACTTTCTCCACCTCAACAAGCTTCCAAATTCATATATGGTGCTACAGTTCACACACTCATGTCCAACCTTGGCCAATGATACTTTTTGTTGTTCCTTTCCTGCTACTGCTGATATTGCCTGTTCGTTGCCTAGATGTCTCTTGCTGCATAGGGTAAAGCCCTACACCCATTTTCAAGGAATGGGAACCTGTGGTCCTCCAGATATTGCTGGTTTCCATCTCTTAGTATTCTTCGCTATTGGCTATACTAGCCAGAGCTACTTCAAGTGTTAAATCAGCAGCATCTGGAAAGCCGTATTTTTTTTTCTGTTTCTGGCCTGTTCCCCAGTTTAAAAGTATCTGTTAGCTTGCATATTTGTGCTGAATTCAATGTGTGTGTATATGTGTATGTGAGAGAGATGAAGAAATATACATGTGCGTACTTATATCTTTTACTTAGCAAAAATGCAACCCATTATAGGTAGTTCTGGGTTAATGACTGCCCTGTTTAGTGACCGTTTGAAGTTATGATGGCACTGAAAAAGTAACTTTACAACCAGTCCTCGAACTTACAACCATCACAGTGTCCCTGAGATCACTTGATCAAAATTTGGGCACTTCACAACTGGCGTGCATTTACAACTGTCTCAGCATCCCATGGTCACATGATCACCATTTGCAAGCTTCACAGTTGGCTTCCAACAAGCAAAGTCAACAGAGAAGCCAGCAGTAAAATTGCAAGTCACAGTCATGTGATGTCTCACTAACAACCACTGGTGATTCGCTTAATGACCACAGCAGAAGTGATGGTGTAAGTCCGGTGCAGTCACATGATGTTGCCCTTAACAATTGCATCACTTAGCGACAGAGTTGCCGGTCACAATTGTGGTTATTAATGAGAACTATCTGTATGTCCTATCTACAAAGCTGCCTAAGGTTTCTTGCTAACAAGACTGGACTAATTAAATTTTTAAAAGCAGGAAGCAGAAAAGGCAGAATTTCTTCCTGTTTCATTATGTCAAATGGTTGTTTTTTTGGTGATGGAAAAGGAAGCATTGAAAAGTGGCAATACAATTTTTCTATGGCAGAATTTCCAATATAGTCCCTGGTGTACTAGAACTCACAGCATCCATGGACATACTAGATGGGAATTGAAGTCGTAACATACCAGGAGAATGGCAGGTTGAGGGAGGTGGTTCTATGGCTTGATTATGGGGGAGAAATTTGTGGGGAAGATGGAGAAACGGCATTCATATTTCTAGCTGTGCTAATAATTTCCAATCTCCTACTCCCAGGAATCATTGGGAAAGCCATGATAATTGGAACTGATTATATTCCATCTGTTATAAATGAGATGCTGGTCTCCTTGGACTGAATATTATTTTTCTTCTTTTGCTAGCCTGTAGCACTCTAGTGAACAAGAGACCAGCTCTGGAGGAGTGTATGAAAGGTAAAAAACATTGTGGAGCATCCATGATTCCTTCCCTGGTGATGGTGAGCACAAGGAACTCCACTCTTTGAAGAGAGTGGAGGCAAATTCTGAACTGATGATGAAGTAACTGTTGAGCAGCAGGAGAGAGAGGCAGGCAATAGCTTGACCCTAATCAATTCACTGGGACATTTTGAATGTTGCATTTTAGTACAGTCAGCTGTGTGCAAATGGGAAGAGATTGAGTTGCACATATTCATCCTTAAAGATATTGGTAATTTCCAATACATCATACGGCATTTTTACAACAACTGCCTTGTATGTTTATGGAATATTTAAGCTATTCCCAGTTCCAGCATGGTTTTAAGCCTTCTTGTTGTCCCAAGGCCTTGAAACAAGAGGAAAATAAACCCCTGATATTGTCTCTTGTTTCTTTACATCATTAGATGGAGACGGGGTTGGAATCCTGCATGTGTTTTGTGATGAGTTTAAAAAATAGATCTGGGTATAAAATCACTTAAGATTGTGATTATTTCTTTGGTTTCATTGTACTTATAGTTCTTAGGTCTCTTTAAATTCATTTAATTAAATATTAATTGTATGCATGTACTTTTCTATAAACATCTATGATTCGATCAACTGCCACATTACTTGATAGCTATTTATATCAGTAGTCTATTAGAAATACTACACTGAATTTTCATATCACTTTTGACAAAGGAGTTATTTAAAAATTAATGATTTTGGTGGACCCGTTTCCAACTTTCATCTGTCTCTTCTCAAAAGTAATCATAAATATATACAAATGTAATCAACCCTGTATGTTCCATCATCCCAAATCCAAGCCTGCACCATGAAATCTTCAACTTCATTCTCTGTGCTGTGATTTCTGTTTCATTCATTCTATGCTTTGAACTCTTGATAGGTTCCTGTGTCCAAGAAATAGGGCAGAACTACAGGGGAAAGATTTCTGTCACCAAGTCAGGAACTGAATGTCAATTCTGGTCCAGCAAATTTCCTCACAAGCCTGAGTAAGTTCATTTATCTTTAGAAGGTTCTATAGTATCTTTCAATCCCTAAAAGGCAGATCCTAAGGCAACTTACAATGACAAAACCTCAGGTGAATAAGAGCATTCAGAGCCATTCAAAAATTAATAAAACAAGACTATAGCTAGCCATCTTAAATATACTGAAAGATGGCTGGAAGAAAAATATGTTGCTTGACTAAACAGATCAAGGAGCCTACCTCCCCTGAAAAATAATCTAAGTGCAAAAAATGAGTGGACTGAGAAGTTAAGGGTTTCTTCCACACTGGCCGTGGAACAGCTTTTACCAAAGGTAGCTGGCTGCATAGAGTTGCAAGCCAGCATGTGTGATCTACAGTTCTCTGAAATGTGCAGAAGCTGGGAAAACTTACCTGGCAAGAGGAGGTGCTACTGCTGTGGCTAGCATATCACATGAATATTACTAAAGCTGATAATTTTACTCAGCCCCCTCAGCCCCTGTCAAATGGAGGTTTTTTGGGGTAGATGTCAGGCTCCTTAGAAGACTAGTTAATCATCTATCTATCTGTCTGAGGCAGAAACTCATTTTAAGTCACCGAGCTACAGCACAATTAAGAGAAGATCTACTAGGTCATAGGAAAAGATACACATTCTGCATGTCCGCAGCATTTTTGCTTTGATATACTTGTACCTGCATATTCTGGCTGTATGTTCTATTTCCCTTAATGTAAATTCAGTGCTGGGGGGGGACCTTTTTTGGGGGAGAGTCCTCATTTATTGTATAATGTGGTTGTTTTCAGATTCAATGTTACAACTCATCCAGATGCCAATCTCACTGAAAACTACTGTAGGAACCCCAACAACAACTCCCAGGGACCCTGGTGCTACACCCGTAATCCAGCAGTACAAGTAGAAGAATGTGCTATTCCTGTGTGTGGTGAGTCTCAGTGCTGGTACAAAAGGTAAAGTTTGATTAGGTCACCTTAATTTATAAGTGTATGTGCATAATCTATCCTGTAAAACCAGTTTCCATATGGTGAGGGAAAGGCATCCTACATGAGATCCGAGGTTCATTCTGCTCAGGTGTTACTTTATATAATATGGGGATTAAACTAGGGCTGAGCCTTTTTTTTCTGTTGGGCTATACGTTGCCTTAGGAGTCAATGGTAGGGGGCCCAAAGGTTAACAGTGCCTGTGGTTAAGCAAGGAGTGGACATGTCTGGAAACAAAAGTAGATGAGTTTCTGACTTTTGCTTTTTTCCTGACACTTTCCATTTTCTTCTTTCTCTTTTTCAACCCACCCACTCCTTCCTTCCCTGCATAGCAGTCTAGGATAAATTACTCTTACTAGAAGTCTGCGTTGATTGCTTGCACACTACTTTTGGAATTAGGCAGAAATCTGCATGAAATGAGACTATAATCCACATGCAATCCTACAATCACAGGTTGGCCATCTTTAGGCTTATCCTTGAGGTTCAGAACCAATTCTTGACCAGCATCCTGGGCAGCCCTAGAGTCCTAGAACTGTAGAGCTGAAAGTGACTGTAAGAATCATCTAATCCAATCCTCTATAATGTGCAGGAAGACCATCCATGAGAGGTAGCTGTCCAGATTCTTCTTAAAAACTTCCAGAGATGGAGAATCCACAATCTCCACTGTTGTATAGATCTCATGTCAGGATTTTTCCCTTATATTCCAATGAAATCTGTAGCCATGGAAAACAGATGATGACCATCTTCCCTTTAGCTTCTCTTTATGTACCTGAACACAGCTATCATGTCTCCCCCAAGTTTTTTTTTCATCAAACTGAACATCCCAAGTTCTTTCAGCCTGTCCTCATAATTCAGGCTAAGATAAGTATTTGATCTAAAGTAACAATTGAATGACACGTGTAGCATGAAGCAACACCAGCACTTTCAGGTTCTTCATGACTGTGACAGGGAAAACGGATGCTATGACAGGTTTTTTGTCAGCTCTGAACAGCTGTTTCATCAATGCTCATGGTAATCTTGTGCTTCCTTTTAGGTGAGAACCGGACCACAGTTCCCTTCTCTCCAACACCTCCTCGTATGCAGGAGACAACACAGCAGCAGGAGGAGTGTGTACGCGATGAAGGGTTGCTCTATTCAGGGACTCTTTCTGTCACAATATCTGGAGAGAGGTGCTTGCCATGGGCTTCGGAGAAAGTAAGACAGCTGAGCTATAGAAAAAACTTCCTGGAAGACGTGTCCCTGGTGGAGAATTATTGCCGCAACCCTGATCATGACAAGGAAGGGGTTTGGTGCTATGTAGACCACCCAACTATATCCTTCAATTATTGCAACTTGAACTACTGTGGTGAGGAGCAGACCGCTATTTCTGTGGTGATTGAAGGAATGTAGTATCTGGGAGGGCGTGCTGATATTTAACAGAGGTCACTTGATGAGGTTTTACAGTGGAATTATTATTTTCCAACTGGAATTCTTTGAGTACAAAATGCATTACTGAAGACAAAAAGTCCTCAGATGAGTCCCCACCAAATCCAGGGACCTGTTGGATCACAGCAACTACAATGGGAGCACAGGACCTTGTTTTGTTTTTTCTCCTGTGGATCCACGGTGCCTCCTGATATGTCTTCAGGAATGCTCTAGTCCACTAATAGAGACAGTACAAGGTTGCTAACTAAATTACTTCTTTGTATTCTCCTGTCCCTTTTCCATTTCAGAAAATGATCTAAGTTATGCCGATGATATTGCTGAGGACCAAAGAGCGGGACGAACTACTGTCCAGCAACATGAAACCTTCTTTGATCCTAAGACTTTTGGTGAAGGTGAAGCAGGTGAGGAAAGAAATCAATTAAAGAAAGAAAAAAGATAATAAGATGTAGTTACTCTACACAATACATTACTATATAATAGCTCTTCATTTAATATGGGCTGAGTGCAGAGGTACATGGTATTTTTCATACTAAAGGCTACACTTTTGAACAGCATACCAAAGTCTAAATTTGTTTAGAGGTAATTATAAATAATTATTTAACTGGACTTCATTAAATTGTTTGCAGTTCTGTCCCAATCCTAAATGACTGTGGGCAAGTAAGAATGTTAAAATATTTGATACAAAAGGAAAACATACATAAAACAAAAATTTAGCTGTTACTTGTAAGTAGATGACTTGTTTATGTGCATTTTCTTTTTTCCTCAATTTTTTTTTTTATTGGTACCTGCCCATTGTGCAATAGGAGCTGGGCAGGGTATAAATACTGGAAATAAGTTTAACTTGCTTGTGAAAAATAAGCAGGGCTGGGGCCATCAGTATTTCCAGAGGGAGGATATTCCAAAGAGTGGGGGCCACCGCTGATAAAGGCCTGTTGCCTGGCCCCATGCTCCTGGCAAGATGAGGGGATCCTCATCAGGATCTAGATGCTCTAGATCGGTGTTTCTCAACTTGAAGACGTGTGGACTTCAACTCCCAG